CACTCAACACACCCGACATGCCCGGTCCCGTCGCATCGACCCACGCAAAAACAAGCCCCAGCCCTCAGATGCACCAAGCACACCGCCCGAATGACCTACTGGTTTGCAGGGACTGGAGCACAGGGTCCTGGTTTTCTACAGGACACTCGGTTGGTTCAGTCCGCCCCAGCCTCCGTTCCCGGGAGGAACTCAGAATGGGGGAAGCTTTCCAGCTCCAGACCAAAGGAGGAGAGAAAGCCCTACCTTGTTCTTCCGCTAGATCTGTCCCCTTAAAGTGAGTGATGGGGGAATACCCACATGGGACATATCCGGTTGCCGCCTCCTGCAGTTGGAGAAAGGGAAACCCAGTGAGGATCCCAGCACCCTGTGCACACCGTGTGCACACATCTCTGTGCCCTTGGTGTCGTAAGCCAGCTAGATGGGATGCAGTCATTGCGTCTGTGATCCGGAGAAGGAGAAAATGACCTCCAGAAGAGGCTCCGGCTTGGAATGTCAAAACTCCCCCGTCCATGTTCTTCGGCGACTCATTCCAAAGCCATTTCCCACAGACAGAATGACCTGGTGGAGAATGCTCACGGCCACCCATTGCCTAAGCAGCGGTGGTGATGTTTTCTCAGTGCCCGTCTCAATCCGGTGTCCGTTAACGGTATAAACTCACGGCAGGCTCTCAGCACCAAGGACATTGACTCTCCCCTGTGGCACGTCCATGCTCAGGTGTTCATGGAAAGAGAAATCAAACCCTGGTTGTCCCTCAGAAGCACAGAATGACTTCACCGAGGTGACGGAGTGGCTCAGACCTTGAAGCTTCTGCCTTCAGCTCAGGACCTGACCCTAGGGTCCTGGGATGGAGCCCCACGTTGGGCATCCTGCTCAAAAGGGGAGCCTGCTTCTTCGTCTCCCTCTGCTACGCCCCCTGCGTGCGCTCTCGCGCGCTCTCTGTCTCTCTCTCCTTCTCTGTGTTTCTGTCTTTCAAATAAATAAAATCTGGAGGAAAGAGGAGTTTACCTGAGGGAGAGTCGGAGTTTCTTCCTCGGCCCTCCAAATGGGTAGCTCTTCCGTGAGGTCCTCGCGGGGAGCTAGGAGGGTAGAGAGGCACTGTGAGGACACTGGTGTGGCTGCCCAGGAAGTAGGCAGGGAGTTTGGGTGGATGAGGACAGGAGGCGAGTGTGTGCGTGCGGGTGCGTAGGAGGTACGGGCCGCACTGCTGCCGGGCCTTGTCCTTGGTGCAGAGAGGAAGGGACGGGAGAGGAGCAGGGAGGAGACGCGACGAGGGTGTTTGTCTTTCTAGCTAAAGCGAGCCCGATCAAAGCCAAATGGTCAGTCCAGTACATGTGAAGCCTACCCTGGCTTCTGTGTGAGGACCGAGTCCCATAAGCTCTCCTGACCGATGTGCCACTAAGGGGTCCCATGCTGCTTCTTTGGAAATCAGCTCTGGGCCCAAGATCCCCATATGCTGTGACTATATGCATCACGTCTCTGTATGATTTTGCACGGCATAAAAAGCAGCCTTGCTTGCCGGGTTGAATTCAACCGTCCGAAAAGAAGCCTAGTAGTTTGCTTCGCTCATCCTTTCTTTGTCTTCAGAAAATCCCACGTGCAACGCTGGAGAGCTCGGACATCGTAGCTTCCGTAAACAGCCGGCACCGTCGATGCGTTTGATCGATTCCTTGCACTATTCTTGAGCTGTCCCGTGTGTGTGTGTGTGTGTGTGTGTGTGTGTGTGTTTCCCCTGAAGACAGTGGCTGTCCGAACCCTCCCAGGTGTTCTGACCAGTGGGGAGTTCCTTACGCAGAGGAGTCTTGGAGTGTGTACTGATGGGCTGTAGGCCTGCTTTGCGGGAGATTTGCCCCGGGGGTGTTGGGTCCAAGCTTCCACCCAAGCTTGACCTTGATTTCCTTTTGGCCAGTGGTGTGTGAGTGCGTGCTTAGACAGTTTGAACCTTCCTGAGGCTTAGGGAAGTCTTATCAAGTACAATCCGTTCCCTCCGTGATGCTTTTCTGCCATTAGTCGTGCGTGCACACTGAGACCGGCTATGACCGATGTTGCCCTGTTCTGTCCTCCACGGGTCCACACCCTTTCCAGCCA